CCCTCAAAAAAAATTTTTTTTTAAATAGGCAATATGATGATAAGTACTATGAGACAAACAAAATAGAATTTGGGAGGTAGAGAATGATGGTGATCATTCTTCTGATACAGGGTGCTCTGCATCTGACAGGGTAGTAACTGATCAAAAATCTGAAGAATGTGAGGCAATGAGTCCTACAACTTTATAAGGAAAGAGAAGTGCAGGTAGGGAAATCCCACACAAAAGACCTGAGGCCAAGAGATTACTTTGATTGCTCCCAGAAAGCAAAAAGTTTAAAGTAGCTAGTTGAGGTTTTAAAAGTATCTTAACAGTTTTTTCATATACTTGATTACTTTGTTTTCCGAACTGAAGAACAAATTTATTTGTAAGCACAGAAAAAACAGCCACATACAGTAGTCTACATGTCCACCCGATCTGCCATCTTGTTTGTTCTCTCCTCCATTGTCTTTTAATTTCCACTTTTTCACCAACTCTTTGAAGCCCCCTCATAGTTGTGGGTCTATAAAAACCCAGATGTTTGTAGATTTCTTCCTTGATTAGTTAATTTGCTGATCTCTTGTAAGACTTGTGAGCCTGTTTTAATTACAAACTCAACAACACTCCATGCTGTCACCTGGTGAAAATGCAGGGTCACCATTGAAATGTTAATCTTAAGTAAACATAACCAGGGGCTTAATTCTGGAATGTTGTTGTTGTCCTTAAGTGCCCTCGAGTCGGTTCCGACCCATAGCGACCCTGTACAGGGTTTCCGAGGGTGTAAATCTTTATGGGAGTAGAAAGCCTGATCTTTCTCCCGCGGAGCAGCTGGTAGTTTCGAACCGCTGGCCTTAAGGTTCGCAGCCCGATTCGTAACCACTACACTAATCACCCAGCACTTTGCTCCCATGTATTTATACAGACAGTTTTGAGTTTACTGTGAAACAGTCTTTATATACTGAACGATTTGTATTTGAGTCAAAATGGAAAATATTTGAGTAATGATCAAAAAAGATTTGAGAGGAAAAGCTTCAGAAAATAATAGAACACAGGATTTATTTTACACAATAAACAAGACTTCAGACATTTTGAATGTTTTCCTGCTTTATATTGTGATTGAAAAAACATCATGGTTGATTAACTATGGCTAAATATTGTGCATAAATATTCCTTTTTGGAAGCGTAGTTGACTATTAAAAGTAATACTGCCCTAAGAAGCCTAGACACAGGTATTAGGCTTTAAAACTGATCTAAATGTAGTCTCTTGATCCTTTGTCATGTATCTGGGAAAGTATATTTTGAATTCATGAACTGAAAGGTGTGTGATATGCAAGGTTAAGTCAAAAATATTGCTGTAACATCATAGAAATCTTCATTTAACAAAAATATTGAACCACTATTGTTACTTGACATAGCCTCTAAATCTCTATAGTTCTGAAGGCAGTGTTTCCATCTCTCTAACCTTTCCTTGAAGAATCTTACAGTCTGATTTGTACCACATGAAAAGAGCACTTTTGGCATCCTGAAGGGATTCCAATCGTGAAATGTTCTTTGATTTTTGGAAACAAAAAGAAGCCTGAAGGGGCAAGATAAGGCAGTAGCCTGCAAGAATGGGCAGATGATTGTTATAATGGAAAAATGTTTCCCTCAGCTCTTCTCTCCTGGCCTTTTTTTCCACCATTCTACTTTTCAGTTTTCTGAAAATTTCCTAATAAGCTTCCATGATTGTCCCATGTTCTTCAAGAAAACCTATCAAGTTTACCCACTTTGGAATCCCAAGACAACAGGCATCATAGCGTTTGAGCAAACCCTGTTGCCTGGAGTTTAGGTGAACGCTATTTATTTGGACCTTGCTCTCAGGATCTTATTAGTAAATTCAGGACTTGTTCCTGGTTCTGATTCTTCCCATAAAACCATCTTCCTTAGCTTCACTCTTGCTTAAAAGAATGATGGAAAGATGAGTTCTTTGCACTAGCTGACTTTCGTACAATGCTTTTGGCACCCATTGAGCTAAAAGCTTGTTGAGGCCAAGATATTCACTAAGAACTGAAAACTCGGTAGCATGTAAGATCTCAACTTCAGTAACTATCACCTTAGTGGTGATATTGCAGTCTTCTTCCTCCAGGTTCTAGATGTCAGCCACAGTTGCTTCATGTGATGAAGTTGATGGTCTTCCCTTTCTTGGCTAATCTTTGAGGTCATCCCAACCTTTTGCACAGTGCTTGATCCACCGAAAAACTGGTGTGTGTGGGGCCGCATTCATGTAAACTTTACTGCATAGCTTCAACGATTTAGAAAGCTGTTGGATAAGTGCTGGACTGCTAACCACAAGAACGGTGATTTAAACCCGCTCCTCAAAAACCCTCTATGGGGGTTGCTGTGAGGCAGAAATGACTTGACACTTAACAGCGACAATACCAACCACTTGAGTTTGGCTAAAAATCCTTATATTCGCCATCATTTTTCCCATGACAAATAGTATCTACCACATTTTTTTTTTTTAAGGCACCTTAAACAAACAGACAAGTATATTACCAAGAGAACTTGCCTGTAGCCATTTACTGATCTCAGAAAACTGTTTAAACACAATTTGTTTAGAATAAACCTACACATATATGAACTGGCTGGAACCCTAGGAGCAATACTTTTTGACTTAGCTTCGTGTCAACATATAATTGGAATCCTAGTATGGCGCTATAGGATAAGCACTCGACTGCAATGTCAGTTTGAACCACAAGGTCAGTGGTTCAAATCGACCAGTGACTCCTTGGAAACCCTACACAGGGTTGCTATGAGTCGGAACCGACTCCATGGCACTTAATAACAGCAAAAATAATAGACATATATATGCACTTATGTTTAATACTGTCTGAGACTATAATGATGTCCATAGATACCAAACATCCCAGCTGCTCTTGTGAATTAAGTATGTGGTCACTCTGTAATAAATCTCATGGCTTTTGGGTGTCACTTCCAGACTCAGAACTAAATGTTAGATCTGAATGTTTAATAAGAAAATGCAGCTCAGTAGATTGTACGGATTCTGGCAAATGCTGCTGCTTATGTGCCCTTCTTTCTTACCATCCAACTGTAGGTGCCATTGCAGACAGTGTGGCCAAGTGGATATTTAAACTAGACGTCAACCCTGATGTGTTGAAACTGGCTAACAAAGAAAGAACTGTAGAAAACCCTGATGAACCCAAAGAAGGTATTAACAGAGATTCCCTTGAAGTTTTAGAGGTAGACATGGACTTAGGAGCCATATCAGATAATACTTAAATACTGAGAAATAAGATACTCCAAGTGGAGAGATGCAACTGACTTTTCTTTAAGGAAAGTATAATAGATTCCACCTCTCTTCTGACTTCCAGACTTGCTGCATTTAGCCTATAAACAGTTTCCTTGCAGCCTTGAGCTAGACGTGCTGCATGCACATTGCTGTTGGGAGTATGTGGTCCAGTGGAATAAAGACCCAGAGGTAAGAGTCTCATCATCTCTCTCGTGTTCATCTTTTGTTTGTTCATGCTCCTCACATGTGGGACTGTTATTTCAATGATTACATTATTAACAGTATTTAACTATGATGGTGGTGGTTGTGTGCTGTCAAATCAATTCTGACTCATGGTGACCTTGTATAATGTTTCCGAGGCTGTAAATCTTCATTTACATGTAAAGCCTCATCTTTCTCCTGCAGATACCCACTGTAGAGAATAGAAAATGAGGGATCAGAGAAGTTACGTTACTTACCTATGGACATACTGCTAAGTAACTGGGCCAGAATTTAAGTGTTGTTGTTGTGAAGTGCCATTGAGTCAGTTCTGACCCACAGTGACCCTGTATAGGGTTTCCAAGGAGCAGTTGATGAGCTTGAACCGCCGACCTTGAAGTTCAAATGGCTTTGCAGTCTGACACATTAACCCACAGCGCCACACCAGGGCTCGGATTTAAGCATAGACTTCTCTATATTTTTAAAGCCAATGCTTCTCCCCACTCCCTAGTTAGGTTGTTGGGTTTTAAAAATTTCATTCTGAATTCCTTTATGAATTGGCAATACCTAATAGAGAGCTACTTACCTTCAAGGTCAGCAGTTCGAAACTACCAGCCATTCCGGGGGAGAACAATGAGGCTTTCTGTTCCTGTAAAGATTTACAGCCTCTGCAACCATATGCGGGTTGGCTATGAGTCGAAACTGACTCCACAGCCCACCACCACCACCACTAGAAAGCCTTAATAGGATAGTCCCCATGATAAAAATGAGAGTAAAGATTCCAAAGTCAACTTAGTGTTGATTGCAGTATGTGTATGTTTGTCACTTCTGTCATACTCGTCTCAGAAGAACATTGAAGAAACTCTCGTTGTATGCAGTACTGAGTGTAGCCCAGGTTTAGCCTCCTTTCCTTTGCAACACTCTGCTCCGGTCCCCTTTTCTACCACTTGTGTTGGCCACGCTCTCCTTCAGGGTATTCACAGTGTAGGAGGGCCTCGCCTGGAGGCAGGAGACCTCGATTTAGATCCCAGGTGATTTGTTGACAAGCATGTAATGTCGGGCCACTCAATCTCTGAACCTGTGTTTTTGTTCCCCACTTGTTTTTAATAAAAGGGCCAGTTTTCAAGGTGGACACCGGAATCAAATAATATGCAAAGACATAAGAGTATGGTGTATTCAGAAGAGTAAAGACATATTCTTACTGACCAGTATAGCCCTCGTTGGCAGTGCTGTGTTAAATCATTCATTTCAAATCACAACTCCGTCCTTTATTGTCCTTACATCAGGTTCCACTCATAAAAAAAATTTAACTGATAAATTAATGTATGCCTTACTAATGGTAATCATACTCTTCCTTCCTTCTAAAGAAAAAAAATTGTCCTTAATATGTAACCACTGCATATTTTTTAAAGGCACAAAAAATATAAATGCTTTAAACAAAGAAATGGACTTGGATCAATTTAACTTTGACCAAATGTTTTTTAGAATAGGGGTAATCCTGCTGATATCCTCAAATCACTATTTTCCAGAATATTCTGGCATTATTCGTATTTAGGCCATAAATAGGACTTCTGGTGTGGTGCTGTAATAATCAGCACTGGGCTGCTAACCACAACCAGGTCTGTGGTTCAAGCTCACCAGCTGCTCCTTAGAAACCCTATACAGGGTCACTGTGAATCAGAACCAACTCAACAGCACTTAACAACAACTCAAATAGGAAATTTCCTATAAGAAAGAAAAAAGGCATTAAGTCTAGACCAAGGATATAATTTCTAAAATCTAAATTAATTCCAAGCCTAAGAAAGTGATATTTAAAGAAAACTGAATATCACAACATTCATTTCTAAACCAAGAAGCACCTTTGTATAGCGGACACAGATAAATGTGGGTTCAGTTCAAGCTCTTCCCTGGCCCCCCAGTGTTTCTGCTTATTTAATATGTCTCTGAACCCTGTGTATCTCAGCTGTATCCTAAAATTAGAGGATTTTATGATTAGTTTGGTAATCTGTGCATCGATCAAACATACCACTTTTGCCAAAAGTAATTGTCGTTGTAATGAGTCTAATAAAGCTCTCTGTGTCAGATGGAGGAGCTGGGCTGAGGGTTGGCTAGGGTAAGTAGATGACTATTTAACGGGAAAATAGCAGGAAAAACAGCTGCTTTATTTTTAAAGTCAGCAGTACTAACAGTAATGATAACACTAAACAAAATGTCTTGCAATATGTTTGTGTTTTCTCAAAAGGCTGTAGCAGTTTATAGAGAAAGTGGGTCCATAGTGTCTGACATTTTGATTAGTGTTATCATTTCCCACTTTTAGAATTGTTTGGTTTTAGAATGGTCTTGGCTGTTTTTCTTGTTTGTGTTCATTTCTACAAGGTGTTTTCTAAAAGGTTGTGGGAAAATTCCATAATCTTTTCATTCTACTTTTCTGTAAACTTTTTAAGTCCCTGCATGTATCCCTAGAACCTCAAGCAAGGCCTGGTACATGGTAGGTGTTCAGTAAGTATTTGTTGACTTACAACTGAGTGAAAATAAATAAACTCAACTTGTTTGCATATCTGTACGAAATTCAAGTATTTATTGGAAAGGATACTGCTGTAATACACAAACCACTTGGTGTTGTTTTTTGTTGCCGTGGAGTTGCTTCTAACTCACGAATTAATCTTAGAAAAATCATTTAGTATCTAATAATTCCATGTTGTTATTACAGCGTTCTGAGGTGGCTGTATGCAGAGATTTCTGTGAGAAGTCACCATTTACATTGTATTTAAAACACCTACTAAAAGATATCTTTTTTTTTTCCCCTTTTCTTTTCTCTGTCTGTACGTAAGGAAGCACGTTTTTTTGTTAGGTCAATAGAGCACTTGAAGCACATTCTAAATGCACATATACAGAATGGTAAGTAAACAGATGTTGAAAACCTTACCAATTAATTTAAAAGAGACAAGAATCTTTAAATTCAAATCCTGTCAACATTTTATTTGATGTACCTACAAGCTGACACATTACATTATATTACTATATGCAAAGTACTATCTATTATAACTACTTAAAAGATGTAATCCAGAAAGCAAGGGAAAGGGGAGTTAACTATCACAGGCTGTCCTCATCCATCAGCTTTCAAGCTTACAATGCTGTGGAAATGAGGGAGATTCTAGGCAGGAATCATTGATTTCTTCTTTAGTTCAGAAATAGAGAAGGGAAAAGGTCTGGAGTTCTTAGGACTGTAATTCCTGATGAGTAGTTTAAGGCTCCAAATGCCCAAGTCTTTACACACTACCTTGAGCATCTTTAATTATTATGAATATTGTTATTGGCTTCTGAATGACAGGGACTGCTGGTGGTATTGTAAAAGTGTTATTAATTATTGTAGAGAAGTTTATGAACAGGTTTGGGCTCTATTTAATAAATTTCATGATAAGAAGTAATTAATGGAAGCTTGGCTGGTCATCGCTTGGATCTGTCTGTTGCTTCAACAGTGTTGGGATGGAAACAGATCTAGGGACTTCTCACCTCTTTAAGCTCAGTCTCTTCTCCGGGACCATCTTCTTGGCCATCCCATTTTCAGGACCTTAAAGCTAAACTCTGGGGTGTGTGTGTGTGTGTATATGTGTTTGGTTAGCTCCAAATCCTCGACCAACCTGAGCTCTCAGATCCGTCAGAATTATTCTGCTGAAGTGGAGGCAGGCGTCAACCATCTGGTCAGCCTACATCTGCAAGCCTCTTAGGGCTACCTGTCCCTGGGCTTGTAGTTCAATCACAACAACATGGCCTTGGCAGGCCTGGGACACTTCTGTGAATTGTTAAAGGAGAAGTGCATGAATGCTGAGTGACTCGTGAAGCTACAAAGCCAGCATGGCGGCCATGCGTTCTTCCAGGATATGCAGAAGCCATCCCAAGATGAGCCGCCCTGGCCCTGGAGAAGAACCTGAACTAGTTCCTTCTGGATCTGCATGCTGTGGGTGCTACCCACACAGACCCCCATCATTGTAACTTTCTGGAGAACAATTTCCTGGATGAGGAAGTAAAAATTATTAAGAAGATGGGTGACCACTGGCCAACCTCTGCAGGCTGGTCATTCCTCAGGCGGGGCTGTGGAAATATCTCTCTGAGAGGCTCAAGCGTGAGTAGGAGCCTGTGGAGCCCAACAACCTGTAAAGGGCCTTCAGCCTTTCCCTGCCATCCTCGGATCTTCTTCCTGAACCTTACCCTCCAGCCACAGACAGCATCACCACCATCCAGGAACCCCTCTCTCCCAAGCTGTGGACCAAATGGAAACAATACAGCTTCCTTTTATAGCACAAAAAGAAAAAGAAATGAATGAAGCCCAGTTTTTAGCCAAGCAGTAGATAGATTGATAGATGGAGACAAAAACCACTGGAAAGGTATGCTCACCATGGAATGAATGGTCAGTCATTCAAAGTCAAAAGGGCAGTTTATGCCTAAGGACAAAATTGAGCAGGGATATGGAAAGTTGGTGGAATGGAAATAGGGACCACAGTGAAGAAGCAGGATCCCTGTTGTGGCTTGGAGGGAATTACAATCATTGAGATGAAACAAAGTCTGTGAGTTTTTAAATGTGAAACTGATGATCTTATCTGTAAACCTTCACTCGATTAACAATAAAAAGTTTTTTAAAAATTGAGATTATTATCAGTCTAGTTAACCTTAATATAAGAGGTGAGGCTAGCTGTGGATCTGAGAAGAGGTGTTTCTTTATGTGATAAATTTCAGTGAAACAACTTATTTCTTTTTTGCCAGTACCACCTGACTGTAGAAGTCAAACTGCAGAAATTTTGAAATGCCTCATTGTCTATAAAGAGAATTTGAGAAGTATTCGTGTATCGCTTAGATGTTGCCTTCTTCAGAGGAGAAAAAAAGTATTTAATGTGACTGCCTTAGAAAAAATAGTGTCAAGATATTTCCGTCCTTACTGATAAAATTAAATTACCTACTCATTTTGGGCTAGTTATTTCTTGAACTTAGGTATTTATCCATTTGCAATTGAGTAAGGTTCCTGACAGCTTCACAGTCTTAAAAAAAAAAAAAACTCCTATAAACAGCTAAACTGTAGAATGGTTTTTGGATAGTAATGGCAGCATCTGAAACGCCATGGTTATATTGCCTAATTGACGACTGCTTCAGAAATCTTAATTTCAAAGCCACAATTTACTATGAATCTGAAAATAGAGATAGCCCAGTTTTTGCTTGTTTTACTTTTTTTATATAAATTGCAGTATCACATACCTCTAGTAAATGTTCTGTATTTTGTTTTATATGAAAACAAGCCTTCCTGGATTTTGAGATTGTTTTTAGTGTTTGGATATTATCTTCTCGGCAATCTTGAGCCCATCATCTGCATTTAATCTGTTGAGTATACACATATTTGTTTCTGTTGAGTGTATACCCAGTAGAAGTAGGTAATAGAGTAGACACAGTGTAGCTTTTGTAAACTTTCGTAACAAAGTTTTCAAGGTGATTTTGCTAGTTTACTCTCAGCAGTGTATGGGAGAGTTCTAGTTGCTCCAAATCTTCACCAACATTTGGTATTGTCAGTGGACATTTTTGGTTGTTGTAATATCTCATTGTGTCTTTAGTCTGTTTCCCTTACAACTAACTAATCATGTTGAGTCTTTTCTTATGCTTTTTGGCTATTTAGATACCTTCTTATGCAACTCAGTTCTGACTTTTATTAAAGATGAAAGTTTTATCAACTGTATAAATACTACATAAGAATGAGTAATGTATATCTACATTAATAGCTGATGTCTTTTATAAGATTTAGGAAGAAAGGAATTTGTTATGTGTGATGAAAATGAAAATACATAAACATTTTGTTTACTACTTTACTTTTTACTTGTTATATCTAGGTATTGCACTGATGATGTGGAATACATTCTTAGTTAAAAGGTTTTCTGCTGCTACATACTTGATGGATAAGGTAAGATACTTTTAAGTTTTGTATTTCATCTCTTATTTGTTTCCCTTAATTCATTGACTGATGTTGCTGTAAAGTGCCGTCGAGTTGGTTCTGATCCGTAGTGACCCTGTATAGGGTTTCGGAAGAGTGGCTGGTGAGTCTGAACCACCAACCTTGAGGTTCAATCCAACCTTGCAGTCAAGTGCTTATTCTGCTATGCCACACCAGCTTTATAAACATTAGACTTTACTGGACTGTTTTTCATTTGATATTAAATTCTCTGTTAAATGTAATTCACAGTGCGGGTATTTAAATAACATGAAAAGCTGGATATCCCTAATAAGAGTAGTACATTGTAAATGTCTCTTAACCAAGCAGGAATTTGTATTTAATTTCAAATTAAAACATGTAAGTGTACAGTTTTCTCCACCAGTCTCTGGATATAGGACCAAGATGCCATCTTTGAATGTGAGCCTGTTCAAATTCTTTGTTTTCCTTGCATCGACCTTACCCAGAATGTATTGCCTATGATTTCTAGATCTTATTTCTTTAAAGTTGTGATACAATCTGAGTATGAAGTATTTGTCAGTTGTTGATGCCATCGAGTCGGACCCGACTCATAGCGACCCCATGCACAGCAGAATGAAACAATGTCTGATCCTGGGCCAACCTCACTACCGCTGCCATACTTGAGTCCATCAATTATGCTACCTGGCTGATCCATCTCGTTGGGGGTCTTCCTCTTTTTCTCTGACCCTCCACCCTACCCAGCATGACATCCTTCTCCAACGATTTTTTCCTCCGGGCAATATGTCCAAAGTATGAGAGACGAAGCTTAGCCATCCTGGCCTCCAAGGAGCACTCTAGCTGCACTTCTTCCAAAACAGATCTATTGGTTCTTTTGGCAGTCCATGGCACTTTCAGTATTCTTCTCTAACACCACAACTCAAAGGCATCAATTCTTCTACGATCTTCCTTATTCACTGTCCAGCTTTTGCATCCATATGAGGCTACTGAAAACACCATGGCCTGTATTTAGATTTTTCTAATTCATCCCATCATCTTTATAGTGGTTTTCTCAATACCTAGTCTAACAGAACTAGCACTTAGCTGGTCTCCTCCATAAATCTTTTTAAAGCCTCAGTGCAGCGCTGACAGAAACAGCTGCATTTTGCTCGCATCACATATATACATACTAGCTATGTAGGCACAGTGTCAATTCACAACCAGAACACACAGGTTTGGGGAGGAAGAGAGCATGCTCCTGTTTGACTTCCTGATCATTTATTTGTTTCCCGGCATTTATTGACTGATATTAGAACACTTATAAACGTTTGTTGTGCTATCTAGTCGGTTCCAACTCATAGTGTCCTTGTATAGGGTTTCCGAGAGCAACTGGTGGGTTTGAACTAATGATCTTGAGGTTAGCAGTCCAGTGCTTATCCTACAGCACCACACCAGATCTTACAGGTAAACATTAGACCTAGCCCAAGTAAAATGTATTTTATAGGTCTGCTGAGAATGTGGGTTAATCTGGCTAATCTGTTGATACCAGTTAGGAAAACTCTGACTCTAATGATAAGCTTATTCTTTTCAATTCAGAGTGACAGCCGTTTCTAAACCGTGACTAGCAGGACAACTCGCACCCACTTCAGGCCACTGCTCCCCTTGGAACTGCTTCCTTTGAGGTCACTAGTAACAGTATTTCCAGTTAAATCTAACTATTCCTTCCTCTGTGCTCATCTTTCTTGGCCACTTTGCTGTTTGCTTGACACGCATTCCTTTTCCTTTTTTATTTTTGATATTATCTTTTTTTGATTTGATTATCTCTGTTTGAGAGAATAAAGTTATTATTGGTTATGCCTTCCATGAGTGTTTACAATTTCACAGTTTCTCTCATCCACTGTACGTTTGATCCTTACTTACTTACACTTAGACTTGGGTGAACATAGTCCTGGATTGCGGGGAAGCAAAGGGTTAATGATCATTTGTTCAACAAATACATATTACTCATTCTCTTTTGTGTCAAGGACTATGCTAGAGTCTTAAGACAGCATCGATAAAATCACAGTGTGTACCACAGTCAAAGAAAGCACAATATGAAGGCAGGTAAATAGACTGTAGGATGGGACTGGAACACAGATGAGAAAGCAAGTAAGTTGCAAGATAAGAGGGGAAGGCTTCTGAGCTGAATTTTGGAGGATGAGTCCAAATGAATCAGTAAAAAGTGAGAGCCAGGAAATGTATTCCAACAAAGCATCCTGGAGGCATGAGGGAACTCACTGGACTCCGAGATCTGCAAGCCATTTAGTCTGGTTAGAACGTAGGCTATAGGAAGCAGAGGGAAACCGAACAGGAAGAATCTCTCCAATGGGTATGGATTTGGAATAATGGGTGTAGGAGTCCTGGTGTGGCGCTGTGGGATAAAGCGCAGGACTGCAAGACTGGTTTGAACCACCACTTACTGAGCGGTGAGTTTGAACCGCAGACCTTGTGGTTCAAGTGGACCTTGAGGTTGAGTGCTTATCCTACAGCGCCACATCAGGACTCCTGGAAAGTGGTGTGGTGGTGATGGTAATGTGCCTCATCGTGACCCTGCACAGGGTTTTCCAGGCTGTAAATCTTTACAGGAGCAGAAAGCCTCATCTTTCTCCCACGAAACAGCTGGTAATTTCCAGCTGCTGCCCTTGAAGATAGCAGCCTGATTTGTAACCACTACACTACCAGAGCTCGTTCCTGGTAAGTGGTAGCTGTGGTTTTATCTTGAAGACATTGAGGCAGTTTTAATGTAAGCAGAACACATCATTCTGATGTGTTAAGATTCGCATTTTAGAAGATAATTCTGACAGCAATGTAGAGTGTATGTTGGGTAAGTTGAGTTTGATTGTCAGAAGAATATTGGCGTTAATACCAGTGAAAATGTCAAGGTGAGGCTTGGAGTCTCTTCTTGCATTGTACTCTCTCATGTGAGTCTCTTGACTTGCTGAGTAGATATTTCTGAAGGGCAAATTTTTATTTTCCGTTTTCTACTTGTGTGGTACTGTAATAGGATAAGCACTGGACTGCTAACCATAAGGTTAGCAATCCAGAGCTGCCAGCCGCTCCTTGGAAACTCTTTACAGGGTTGCTATGATTAACAATTCTGAATAAAATGTGGACGTATGTAGAATAGGAAATCATCGTCTTTCTGAGCTAGGAATGTAACTCCTGACTGCTTCAGGTAGCTTTTTCTTCTTTCTGACCATTTGAAACTCTTGTGTATAGTTATTAGTAGGCAAAATTATTAACTGCTTTGATTAGTAACACAGAAAGGGTTCTGGGTTGTAAGGCAGTGCTGTTTATTTGATTGTGCAAAGAAAGAACCAGATGTTCAGAGATTTCCATATTTTGGTAGTTGAAAAAAAGGTAACTTAATGTTCATGAAGAAGTCCTGGTGTGGCGCTGTGGGCTAATGTGTCAGTCTGCAAAGTCGTTTGAACTGCAAGGTCGGTGGTTCAAGCTCACCAGGTGCTCCTTGGAAAGCCTATACATGGTCGCTATCGACCCGAAGGCACTTACCAACAATAAATAACAGTGTATTTGAACACAATTGTTGTGTGATGTGAATATGAGAAATCAGTATTTCTAAATTGACATTTCTTACGGTACATTGTAGGCAATTGTCAGTATGTGAATATAAATTAATAAATACTGTAACTCACTAAAAAATAAAAGCATTTTGCAATTTTCTGTCTCAGGTTGGAAAATCACCCAAGGACAGGTTATGCCGAAGGGTAAGTGAATCGCCCTTAACCAGAAAGTACAGTTATCAACCCTTATTAACTGCAGGGCTAGACTTTGCCTTTTGCCACTTCATGGCATAATAAAAATGGAAAGAGAATAACTGTATAAAGGAAATTGGTCGTGAACTATGGCCAACTTTAATTTACCTTTCTAGATTGTCAGTATGTGTTTAAACTGTGTTTCCACAAGAGGTGTTCAACCTTGGACTGTGAACAAGAGACGCGGGCTGCCAGTGCTGCGTGTATTTGCTCAGCTTCAGATTAGAAATTTATAATCTTTCATATTTAAGTATCAAACCAGATCTGTATTAGTAGTGAATTTGATCTACCCATAGGTAATAAGCAGTGTATTATAAGAGTATTAGCCTACAGTAATGTTCTAGGGACTTGCTTTTGAGTCCAGTGATAAACAGTGGCAGCTTTTGCTCAGAATTTTTTAAGTGTTCTCACTGAGGAATGTTAGGACACACAAATCTAGTTGTTATGTCCCGAAAAGTCACCATTATTGAAGAATTCTGGCGTTATGCTCTTGAGATTGGTCCTATGGCTACAGTTTACGTATAGAGTATATATTACGTATAAATACAAGGGGACTTCAAAAAGTTCATGGGTGGAATTAAAAGATAATGGAGTTTTTCCACAAATGTTTTGAATCCCCTTTAATACTTATGTGTACTTGTGTGTGTGTTGTTGTTAAGTACCATCAAGTCAGTTTCAGCTTGTAGCAACCCTGTATAGGGTTTCTGAAGAATGGCTGGTGGATTAGAACCGTCGGCCTTTCAATTCAAACCGACCTTGTAGTTTAGTGCTTCTGTAAAAGTATTGCTGTGAAATTATAGAAACCTTTAGTAAACAAAAATATAAAAATGTGAAGCTATTATTTCTTGACATGTCCACCACCTAGGTCTTCACACTTTAGAAGGCAGTGTTTCCATCTCTCTCACCCTTCCCCCAAAGAATTTAACGCTGTGATTAACACCATGTCAGAGTGGTGGTTTTGGCATCCTCAGGGGACTCCAATTGTGTTTCTTTTCAGTGTTATTTTTGAGTCTAGGAAATTAAAAGTCTGAAGGGGCCAGAGCAAGGCTGTAGGGCAGATGAGGAAAGGTTTCCCAATGGAATTCTCATAGGACAGCTTCAGAGAATGAGCAGGTACATTGTCATAATGGAAAAAAATTGTTCAGCATAACTTCACTGGCCTTTTTCTCACTAGTGCAGTTTTCCGTTGCCTTGAAACTTTTGCCTATTAAGCACCCATGATTGTCCTGTGTCCTTCAAGAAAATCTATCAAGATGACCTCTTGGAGTTCTAAAAAACAGTCATCATAACCTTCGGAGCTGACCTCTCTGCCTTGAATTAATAGAAACCAGTTTTGATTGGTCCCTTTTGTTTTGTTTTGTTTTTGAAGGTATCCAAAGTTGAAAAGTGTATTATTGAGAGAACTTGTGTGCATCTACCCACTGATCACAGAAATATATTTGCAAACATTCTTTTTGGAATAAACCTGTGCATGTATGAACTGGAACCCTAGTGGAAGCTTTTTGACTTAGCCATGTATAGAGACACACAGAATTACTTATTTACCTTGGAGATGCGAAAAATTTGTTGGTTGTTGGCTTAAAACAAATTGTATGTGTGTAAGTGCCCCAAGGATAGTGGACCTTTTATGAGACTCCACAGTCTTGCCTCCAGCATTTGTTTAGTATTTAGTTCACAAGCAGGAGGATGTTGAGAGACTGCTAAGAGCTTGGGTGTATTCTAGTGTTGTTCCATGGGCCTAGTTCCATCCCTAAAAGCCTCTGTGAAACCAAATCAGGCTGTTTTTTCTGACCTTTCCAGGTTGGACACTACTAGTGTGAGTATCTCACCACGTACCCTGAGGTGGCTGGCTACCCAGTGGTTTGGCAGGCTGGACAGTGAGTCCTACCTGAATAATGCTAGTCTAGAGTAACTAATGAGATTCCTTCAGTTCACACAAAAAAGTTATAGTCATACCACGCTTTTCATTTTAAGCCCAATTTTAAAATGGGCTCAGTCTAAATCTGAGGAAAGGAATTCAAATGTGTTAATGCCTTGACTTTCAAATCCAAGCCTTTGGCTCTGTGTGAAAGTTGAGCACGTGTGTTGTGTAGTTTCTTTCTGATATTAATTACAGAAGTTTTGCTGCAGGGGCTAATTACACTTCTTAACCACAGGACGTAGGGATGAGTGACACCGCAATGACATCTTTCCTTGGCTCCTGCTTGGACCTTCTTCAGACCTTACTGGAGGTAAGAGATTTACTTCTAAAGGAAGAGACTGTTTTGACATAAGCTTTAAAAATGGGGATTTTTTTACAAGGTATAAAGACTTTGTATGCTTTTTATTGCAATCAGTAAAAAAGTTACACGTGTTTATACTTTGTCCCCTGTAAACTCAGTAGACCTTTTGCAGGCTATTCTCCAGTCCTGAGCACAGTTCTTCGTTCTCCAAACCCTTAGGCAGATGTTAGCAGGGACGAACTGCCAGTGCCCGTGCTGGACACAGAGGACGCCTGGCTGTCTGGGGAAGGCCCAGTCTCAATAGTGGAGCTGGCCCTGGAGCAAAAGCACATTCACTACCCGCTGGTGGAACACCACTCCGTCCTGTGCTCGGTCCTATACGCAGTCATGAGGTTTGCGCTGAAGACCGTGAAACCACTTGCACTTTTTGATAGCAAGGTGAGCACCTCAAAGATTCCAGAGCTGTTCTGTAGTTGTGACTTTCACAGACATACATACTAAAGAAACCGAAGCCCGCTGCCATCCAGTAGATTCTGACTCATAGCGGTCCTATATAGGGTTTCCATGACTGTCAGTCTTTATGGGAGCTGACAGCTTCATCTTTCTTCCATAGAGCACCTGCTGGGTTTGAACCACTGACCTTGCAGTTAGCAGCCCAGGGCCTAACCCACTGCGCCACCTTTCACAGGCACCTAGGCAGTATTATTTGAAGTTGTTCAGTACTTTCGTGACTTGTCTGAGGTTCCAGATTCCCAATTCATGCCTTTATATTCTTTATCTTTTGATTTATCCTTAAATATTGGTTTTCCTGTTTTGTCCTCAGCTACCTTTTCTAACCCTGTACCTTCTTGAACAGACCTATTTTCACCTTTTGTGTATTTCTGGGTCTGACTTATCCTCAGCATTTGAGGTATGCATTTGTATTGACTGCCCTGTGAAACTGCAAGCATCCCTCCTGCCCCGGGTCTGAACCTGCGGTCCTTGGGAATCCTGTCTTGGTTAGTTAACTACTATGATGTCCTTGTTTGGGGCAGTGGCCAGGTTACAAGCCTGGAAATTGTCTGGCTTAATTCCTTGCTTAAAGCCCCACATTCCTTATAAATTTGTTCTTGTAACTTCTCTAGAATATCTGTCCATTCTTTTTCCATAGCTTTGTTATTAAAGTGTTTTCGAGTCAGTTCTGACCTATAACAACTCAGTATAGGGTTTCTGAGGAGCAGCTGGTGGGTTTGAACTGTCAACATTGTGGTTCACAGTTCACACAGTTCAGGGCTGATCCTCCAGTGCCACACCAGTTGGGACCTTTTTGTCCTCCCTTCGGCTATTAGAGCAGCCTCCTCCCTAGTCACCGTGTGTCCAGTGTCTGTCCACCCTTTCCCATGTTACAGCCCTGTCTGCCCAAGCCAGAATTTCATTCTTTTCATTCCATGCCTAAGCCTGTTCAACACCTCTGCAGGATGAAAAGCCGTCACAATTTGGCCACTGTGGATAGAGCAGGTCAACACCCAAAACCCTTTTCTCTGCAGCTCGATTCTAAAAAAAAAAGGCAGCTAGAGGGTTCGGCTAGAGATTCAACGTCACCTTTATCACTTAGCTTTGCTTTGGTCACTTTATTACTGATGAAAGTGAGGTTAGAGAACACAGCGTCAGGTTTAGGACACACAGCTTCCTGTTTCACCTATGCATGAGAGAAGAGCACAGCAGCTTGCCTGCATAGGCTTCCTCCCTACAGAGGGGAGGATGCTCAGCCCTCCACCTCCACTGGAGGAGGACACTGCCGGGAGCCCTGTTATTGCAGAGCAGCGCCTGCTGCCAGATGGCCAGGAGGCCTCCTACACAGCCACACCTGCCCTCCCTCTCCAACCTCATAGGAAATAGTAAATGTGTCACTAGGAAATAGTAAATGTGTACCTTGTGCTGTAACCAACCCTCCCAGAAATTACACATTTTTATCACTTATTGTCATTTAGCATAGTGGTTACAAATCGGGCTGCGAACTGCAAGGTCAGCAGTTCGGAACTATCAGCTACTCCGTGGGAGACAGATGAGGCTTTCTGCTCCCGTAAAGATTTACAGCCTTGGAAACCCTGTGCAGAGTCGCTATGAGTCAGAACCGACTCCACGGCACATGACAACATTGTCATTTGTGTTCCATTTTCACAGGTAACTGTTTTTTTTATGGTAGGGCTCCTATTCTTCAAAAATCACTGCCTTGTCACTCACCTCTTCAAATGTTTTGTCCACACTCCTTGAGATTCACCTTGTCCCCTCTTAACTTTACCATTGCCATGCCTGGCGTAACATAGGAGCTGGATAGATACTCGGTATATTTATACCTAAGGAGGTGCAGGATGTAGAGTAGACAGAGGAGTCTGGGAAACTTGCACGTGAGGACCTGGACTGGGGGTGCTGATGAAAATCCTAGAATGGATTGGGATGACCTAATGACAAGCTGGATGTTGAGCTGAAGGAGACAGAAGGACAGAGGGGTTAAATGGCACCTAATTTTCAAGATTGGAAGACAGCATGCTATTTAGAAAAAGCCCATTAAGCAAGATTTGGACATACTAAGTTTGAGGGTATATCTAAACAGGAATTGTATGTCCTAAGTAGTTTGTTTTTAATAAGTAACATTTAATGTTTAGATCCCTAAAGTTTACTTCTGAAAAGTCTGATGCCAAATTGTAATTATCCTAATAAAATAGCATTCGTTGTATTTATAAGCATATTTTGATTGGATTATTATCTTTTAAGATCTGAAAAAGAATGGATGCTTAAACTTTAAACAAACAATAAGTGCCTCACTTAACACCTCTCTCAAAAAACCTTCCTGCTACAACCCAACCCTGAAAAGCTGAGCCTTCTCTTGGGTAGGGAAGGCAGTCTGCTGTGGAGGTCGGTCTGCTACACAGGTCGGCTCCTGTAGAGCCTGTCCAAGTGCTTGTGCTGGGACGAGCAAGTCTCTAATGTAAACACACCCAGCTCATTAGTGGAACTGCACAAGTACAGCATTAACTACCCTCTCAATCCGTAGCTTGTTGAGGTGAGGGGAGTAAGCTATTGGATTCCTGTTAGCAACTCCAGAGGCAGTGTGGTTTCCTGGGAGTTCCTCAGTGGTGCAAACGTTAATGTTCTCAACTGCTAAGCAAAAAGTGGTACGTGTGAGTCCATTCAGGTTCTTTGGCAGAAAAGCCTGCCAATGTACGTCTAAAAAAGTAGTCATTGAAAACCCCACGGAACATAGTTCTACTGACACACATAAGGTATCATCAGTCGAATTCCCTCAATAGCAGCTAGTTTACTGGCTAGTGAAACAGATTCCCAGCTCTGCTATTTACTACCTGGAATTAATTTCTCATAGCTTGGTTTTCTCATTCACAAAGGGGAGATGAGCCTAGTGCCTACCTCATGAGGTTGTTATGGAGGTTAATGATGTATTCAACATAAATTGCTTAGCAGTGTCTGGAACATGGGGACACAGGAAATAGTAAATGTGTTTCCTGACCACATACACCCTACCCCACAGGCTCCCTTGTATCTAAACCATTGAATGGAAATTCTAGAGGAACAGACTGTAGGGGTGTGGGAAAACTTTCAGACAGTGATGTCCAAAATGTAAGTGTGGTCCTGAGAAGTTTGGGGTTTCTTATCATTGGAGCCTGAGCAGTCTTACCTAACTCAGCAAACCAAAGAAAATAGAATTGTAGGTGACGTCTAGAAGGTTTGTTAGAAAAAACCTGAGATTTCTTGTTTGCAGAAACAATCCCCTAGGGTGGTGTGGTCATTTACCCAGGATAACTTATCAGGAGTGCTGGTATGCTCCGCTGTGAAGGCAAATGTACTTTTCACTTGATGAAATCCTTCTAATCCAAAAACCTTATGAAATCTTGGTTTCTGATATTGTTTGGCTTTACAGACGCATCTGTTCTCTTAAACAAGGTGTTTTAAAAGGATTCAGTGTGTACTTTACACATTAGTTACCTATTGTTAAGTGCTATCGGAGTCAGTTCCAACTCATAGTGACCGTGTATAAGGTTTCTGAGGAATGGTTGGTGGGTTTAAACTGCTGACCCTGCAGCTAGCAGTCCAATGCTTATCCTACAGTGTTACACCCGTGAATAACAAATTATCCTGAAACTTAGTGAAAACAACTAACAACGTACGGGTCAGGATCCAGGTCCCCTAACCTAGATGCCTCTGACTCAGGTTTTCTCGTGAGGTTACATTTAAGGTTTTGGCCAGCGCCATGGTCTCATCTGAAGGTTTAGCTGCGATGGGGACCCACTTCAGGCTTATGCAGTTGTTGGCAGAATTTAGTTCCTTGCTATGTGGGCCTCTTCTGGGGCAGCTCACAATATGGCGTCTGACTTCTTCAGTGAGTGAGAATGAATGTGAACGCAGAGTGGTCACCACATCCCTTTTGTAATCTCGTCTTGGAGATCAGGGCTGTCACTCCTGCCTAATTCTATCATGATCCTACACTCAAGAAGAAGGGTTTACACAATACATAGCAGGAAGTGTGTGGGGTGGGGGGGTATTTTAATGGCTGTTTACCACACACTACATAATTGTTATAAAAACTTAAGTGTTGAGTCAGTTCTGACTCACTGACCCATGTAGAGTTTCTGAGGAGCAGCTAGTGGGTTTGACCCACTGACATTGGTGGTTGTGTGCCACCAAGTTAATTCCAACTCAGTGACCCTGTTTAGGATTTCCAAGGCAGTAAATCTTTATGGGAGCAGAAAGCCTTATCTTTCTTCCGTGCAGCAACTAGTAGATTGAAACTGCTGACCTTAATGGTTAACAGCCCAGCTCATAACCGGGAATTCCCAAATAAAATTCCAAAATTTTACTGTTCAAGGCGAACAACTTTATTTTAAAACATTTCTTCTTCCCCCATTAAAAAAAATTAATTATTTCTTAATCTTTCTCTTTAGGGAAAAAATGCCTTTTTCAAAGACCTAACATCAATTCAATTATTACCTAGTGGGGAAATGGACCCAAACTTTATTTCTGCGCGACAACAGGTAAATTAGTTATGTTTCTTGTGGGGGCCAGGAGTAGACTGTAGCTGCTTTTGAAGAATAATCACATTCAAGAGTATTCTTGGTAGCTTGTTTCCCCTTTAAATTACGTGCTCCTTTTCTGATGAGTAGACTGTTTTAGTGCTAAAGCCACTGCTGACAGACAAAAGAGCCAACAGTTTACTTTGACTTAGATGTCTTAGATGCTTTTTAAGGAAAACAGATACTAACAAAACGTTATTCTCTTTCTCCAATTTTTGAAGTTTTTGCTGAAGGTTGTTAGCGCAGCTGTCCAGGCCCAACATTCAGTTGCCAAGGACAAAGATCCCACAGAAGCAGCAGTAAGCACTCCTTTTGGGAAAGACCAAGATTGGCCAGTCCTAGCCGTGGATTTAGCGCATCATCTCCAAGTTAGTGAAGATGTTGTTAGAAGACATTATGTGGGGGAACTCTACAACCACGGAGTTGATCAATTGGGAGAAGAGGTAATAATGACCCTCTCAATCAGTTCCTAGCGCTCAAGGTAACACTGACAGTTGGAGGAAACAATCAGTATCCAGCAGAGCTTTCTGCTTTTCCTTGTTAGAACGTCTAGGCACAAAAATAGAACAAGAAAATGGTAAAAATATAAAACTAACTAGTTTCCTGTTTCCAGTCAAAACTTAGTAAATTACGGTATGCTGGGCCTATTCTGTGCATAGAAATACAGCATCAAACAAAACAGTAGTGTAAGAAATTGATATTCCATTATTGTCATTATGTAAAAGTATTAACAAGTTGGTTCCAACACAGTGACCCTGTGTAAGGGTTTTCAGCAAGCAGCTGGTAGGTTTGAACTGCTGACCTTGTGGCTAGCAGTTTAGTGCTGATACTACAGCACCACACCAGGACTCTGAGAGTCCACTATTAGGAGCAAAAATGTTATATTGAGTGGTAAGTGCTATGAGAAAATAAATAGGATTTGAATAAGCAGGAGTTACTACAAAGCATAATGAGCCCTGGTAGCATAGTGGATTGCAAGCTGGGATGCTATAACCTCAAGGTCAGCAGTTCAAATCTACCAGCTGTTCCTCGGGAGAAAGATGAGGCTTTCTGCTCCCATAAATATTTACAGCCTTAGAAACCCTATACAGGGCCACTAAGAGTCAGAACCAACTTCCACGGTACACCACCACAAGGATGATAAAAGGTGAGACCCCAAGGATAAGCAGCAGTCTGCCACTCAGAAAACTGGGGGGAAAGTGTTTGAGACAGAAGTTCAAGAACAAAGACCGTAAGAGGGGATTAGAGTGGCAGGGTTCAGGACTAGAGGGCCAGTGTGGTGACCATATTAAGAAAGGGGCAGGCAGGCTGGGCCAGACCAGAGATCTCAGCCCACAGTTATTACGAGGAACATCCAGGCATTGGTGGAGGGTTTTGAACAGTCGTGATGTGAGCTCATAAGGATTCCCTTTGCTAGAAGTTTGAAAAATGTTCAATGTGTAGTCATACTGAACTGAAAATTTAGGTGGTGGTGAGTGCTTTAGAGTCAGTTCTTTAGGTGTGGTGAATGCAATAGAGTCAGTGTCCCTGTATAGAGTTTCCAAGGGGTATCTGGTGGATTTGAACCACCGACCTTGTGGTTAACAGTCCAGTGCTTGTTGTGTAGTGCCACACCAGCTTAGGTGTTGGTGATTATTAAGTGCCATTCATTCCAACTCCTAAACAACCCTGAATAGGGTTTCGGGGAAGTGGCTCGTTAGCTTGAACCGCCGACTCTGCAGTTCATACTGACCTTGCAGTCCAGCGCATTAACCTGCAGCACCACACCAAGACTCCCCAGTTAAGTAGCAAGCAGAAATTCAGGTTATAAATGCTATGTTTGATATGGACTTGGCTAAACTCAAAAAAGAATCTTGGCAGCCTGTTGCAAATTGAAAGCATTTCTACAACCTTTTTGTTTTTTTCCATGCCTGAATGCTCAGGCCATTCTACAGGTTCATGACAAAGAAGTTCTTGCCTCTCAGCTCCTCGTGGTGACAGGGCAGAGGCTGGCTTACACGCTCTTCCACGCCCAGACCAAAGAAGGCATGGAGCTGCTCGCCAGGCTTCCTCCCATGCTGTGTACATGGCTGAAAGCAATGGTAAATACCACAGAATGAGCTAAGTTCCTCACTGATCGTTATCTATTAATGACTACCAATGACTGTTTAGTTGTATGTAACTAATGAGTTATTTTTGTGTTTCATTTGCAGGATCCTCATGGTCTTCAAAACACTTCAATGCCAATTGCAACAACTGCAAAATTAGTAAATAAAGTGATTGAGCTTTTGCCCGAAAATCATGGGCAGTATAGTCTAGCCTTGCACCTCATTGAAGCTGTGGAAGCCATATCCATTCCTTCTTTGTGACATGTACCCACTGGGTTAAATGCTAATGACAATAGTCTCAAAATTATGTGATTACAACATGAATTAGTGCATGGTTATTTAACATAGTTAAGATCTGGAATTTTTTGGAAGGAATATTTTATTTTTTTGTAAAATAAGAATGTATATTAGTTTTAAAAGTGTAATCCTAGCTAAATTCCACTCTATTTGTTCATCTGGAAGATAAACTACAAATATCAATTATATCACAATTATCAGTATCTGTTTTATTGTTTATTTCTAATTCAGACACTTACAGGTAGCTTTATTGTAAAACTTTGCTATGCTGATTTACAGATTATGTTATAAAATTATATATTTCATACCCAAAATGTTACTATTGTAATTAAATTTGTGTGTGTTCATGTACAGTCCCCATCATAAAGCTGGAGAAGCATCCTACTCTCTTGTCTAGTAAGTGTTGGAAAAATGTTTTCATGTGCTTAATAACCAACCCCCTGCTGGCTGGGAGTTGTGGCTGCTGACTGATTCCTTTCCCAGAAGTTATATGGTGGCCATCAGAAGTGGATGGCTTTGCTTGTGGAGGAAGAATGAGTTCAAGATCACCAAGGGCCCTAGTACAAGCCTTAACCTGTTGTATTTGCCTGCCAAAAGTGAGCATCTGAGGTACAGGAGACCAACACAGTAAAATTAATTCTAAAGTAAGATTTGCTGTTTGCCAAGGATCAAAGTTGTATGTACATGAGGTAATTGTAAAAATGTAAAATTTGTATAAAAAAGACAATCTTAATTCCAACTTTATTTTCCTTGCAAGTGTTTAGAATTGTTTGCCCTGGGATTTGGCCTTGAGAACAGTACAGAATATGCTGAGTCATATTTCAGCTTTCACAAACCTACCTCACAGCTGAGATGAGAGGAGAAAAACACAATTTTGTACTCTGCAGTGCCTAGAGCAGTCCAAGTGCTGAATTATTTGTTGATTCACACCAAATTAACCAAAACTCTATAAAAAGTACTTTGAGCTCTTTCTATAAATACCAGTATTATAGTATACCTTTGGAATGTAGCCATACAGTGCAATTACTGATGTGTTCTTTTAAAACATTACATCCAAATAAGAACCAAACCTTGCTAAAACTTACTGCTGTCAATAACTATCAAGTTGGAACTCTAGAAAGATAAATTTCTAAGCTGTCCTGAGGATGTGGGGTGGGCCTGTGTATTCTGATCAGAAGTAGCACACTGGAAGGGCCTGAAATCAGTTCATCCTCCCTGCCTCTGCTTGAATCCCATGACACAAATCAGTGACTCTCTAGTTTTAACATTTCTAGAAACTTCAAAAAATTTAATCAAGGGCTTTTAAGAAAGAAAAATACCTATGTGGATATTCTGTAACAACAAAGAGCCATAAGTAGAATAGGTAGTTCATGAAATACAGGTTTGTTGCATTTACTGTATTTATTGATTGATGTGAAACCAATACCCAGTAGTATTTTTTTCTAGATAAACCCTTGTTCTCCATACACATACCTTCATTAGTATTATATGAGAGTATGTTTTCACCTTGTGAAATTAATTCCATTACATAATGCTGAAGGGGAAAAAATATGAGATCATTTAAATTCCTGTTCTATAACTAGAGGAGCCAGGTAAATTTGTAAATCTGAAGAGCATATCTGTCTCACCTTTGTTATAAAAAATCATCTAAGGTCAAATGTTATATTGTTACACTGTTATTTTAAATTGGGATTTTTAAAAAGTTGAACAATTTCAAAATAACAAGAAAAGCCTAACTGTTGTAGTATAACACTCACCTACAGGAGACATTTCAAAGTAATTATAACAGGGAATGGCCTCTTCCAACATGACTTCTAAAGTTAGATCTCTGCTGAGTAGAATTTACCATCCTTAAGAAGAGCTTAATACTGTAATGTTTATAAAATGCTCTACTGTAATGTACTATGTAAGTAGTGAAATTCTGTATATACTGCTATTTTGTTATTGTGAATTTCTGTAAATTAGTGAAATAAATTTTAAGCTTTCATACTGTTTTCTTAACATGCATAAATGAAATCATTGAGGGATTTTTTTTTCCCCAGATCCTACACAAAAGCCTCATGTTGACGTACAATTTCCCTTGTAAAACTTTTTTTTTTTTTCAGTTGACAAGAGACAACTTCTGCCACAACACAAGGTAGTTCTCTAGGATGGTTTTATTTTCAGACATTTACTATGTCGAAAAGATTTATAAAGTATAAAACATTTCTGCTCAGCCACATCTGAAGGCAAGCATATTTATTCTGAATAAAATCCATTATAAATGGGAATATAATAGAGACATATATACATACAAACATACAACATATTTTTCTAGTTACTACTTACAGAATTCATTCTAACCCCAGACAGTAGTGTCAGAGGGATTCTTACTCAAATAGCGGTAAACACAAAATGATGTCCTACTTTCCACCAACCACTTCTGCACATCGAGGGCAGAGCATATCGGAAGACTCAGCTGTATACTTCCAACAACGAGGACATTTTTCTTTAGTAGTTGGCATGACAATTACTTTATATGAAGACTCTTCACGAATATCACCACCTGTGAAAGAAAATACACACAAAACATTCTGAAATGGCATCTGACTTGAGTCACTCAGTATTCCTATTTGGCTTCATTTTTTCTCCTTTCTGGTTTGGTGATGCTTTTTGGGATTGAGGCACTTGAACCTGTGAGACTAATGTTTCTAGAAACCACTGAGCTCTGTATCCGCTCAGGAAGAGCACCTCTTCCAGCTCTTATCCAAGGCGTGTTTCTGATAATTTACACTGCCTCTCTAGCTAACTGAAAACAACTGCAGTACCCCACTCAAAACTTCTTGGTTAAAAGAAAACAGTTTTCCCACTGTTATTTAAACTTCAGACAAATAAGATATAATCAAGGAAGTAAATGATACCTTTCTGCAAAAACTATTTTTAAGAGCAAGTCTAGCACGATCTTTATGTTGAATGCTCAAGTATACAGCAGCCTCCAGCCTCCTGCTGGGCCTGAACACAATGAATGGCAGAGAACCTTCACGAAATAGCTGCTTGCTTCTTCTGCCTCTTTTTCCATCCAGTGAGGATGAAAAGCATCCCTATATCACTGAAACCTACAAAATACTTCTTTTGTAAGGTGTCACTGGGAATGAATTCAGTAAAGTTTCTTTAACCCCTTATTAAGAAAGGTTAGAGAAATAACTTATAAAAATAATCCATGACTAAGTCAAACCAAGGAACACCCTCCAGCCCCTAGCCGTCTGCTCACTGTGTAGGATTACAAAGCTGCGTTACAAATGCGGCCATTGTCTGTATTGTTTCCATAGGAAGGTGTATTCCAAGCACATCCTCATAGAGGCAGCCCACAAATTACAAATGCCCAACTTAGACAAACCACAGCTGGGAACCAAACCCTTATATAACCCGTTATATTCAAAATTCAAGTAATGTACAATTGGTTTGTAATAAATGGGTGCTATTTCATATCAAACATCAAAACATATAAAAATGTGTATTTAAAAGTTTTAGCATGGAAAGGTACACAATGTAGTATATACCAAGACGCTAGATATGAACCTAACCTATACCAAGACGCTAGATATGAACCTAACCTAACGGTTCCACCTTAAATACAAGATGGACTAAGGAAAGGAACTAGTTCAGAATCAGGGGGACTGCCTGTATATGTTGTCAGACTATGAGAAAGTTTTTTAAGATGTTGTTCTTGTTTTTCTAATTTCCTGCTTACCTTCTAAATTGATTAAGAATGTTCCTGTAAGCTCAATTGCATCTGCAGTTATCTCTCGTGGTTCCTGAGCAAGTAAAGTTGTCTGGGAAGCCATCATTAATTCATTCAACTGAGAAGTGCTAGAAGTCTCCTGAGTTTGTAGCATCTGGTAATAAAAGAGTGAAAATTATAAGGGATAAACTGAGAAGTTACTAAAAATAGACACTATATTCTTTCATGAAAAACCTCTTGGTTTCATGTACTATTAAATGCATCAGTTCTTACTAATATGTTTTAAATAAAAACTACCAATTAGTAGTAGTACTGAAAATATATTGTATGCCAGGCATTTTTATAGATGCTATGTTTACTATTTCTAATCACACAGTGTTTACTGATTTTACAAATGATGAAACTGGTTCAAAGGGGTTAACTTGCTCAAGTTTCTCAACCAACAAGTGGTGGAGTTCAAGCCCAGTCTGTCAGCTGCAAAGCCCATACTTCTGTTTTCTGTATTTGGCTTCCTAGATTAGAAGAGGGATCAAAGATGCTATATAAACAAAGACCCAATTTTAGAAATGTAGACTAATGGTAGCAATCTGAAAACACACCTTCAGAAGTGCACTGAATCTCAATGTTTGATAACACTTTTACAAACAAGAATAGTGGAGTGAAACATTTAAAGTTCTGAAAGAAAAACATCTTTGAATTCTGTTATCCAGACACATTATCCATTCTCATACAAACAGAAACTGAGGGAATTTATCTTAATTATAGTAACAACGGAGTGATAAAAGTTTATAGGTAAGTGGAAATATATAATAGCAATATACTGAAGGCTGAGAGGAAGGATTTTGGAATACTTTCAGAGACTTGCACTACCTGTGAAGCAGCATAAATGTCGTTTGAAAGTAGATTCACAATAGTTGTAAATTCATATTGCAAACTCCAGGGCAACTCACTACTCCTATTCAAGCAACGTACTAAAGTCCTAGCTTATGCAATAAGGCAGAAAAGGTAAACCAGGTATACAGACTGAGAAGATATGATTATGTAAAAAAAAAAAATCCCACCTAACAAAAAAACCACCTAGAACTAATAAGCAAATATAGCAAAGTTGCAAAAGGAGGCAAAGTTAATATGAAGGGGATTCAAAAAGCTCATGGAAAAAATTCCATTATCTTTTCATGAACTTTTTTGCAGCCCCCTTATATGTAATGGTTGCTCACTCTCCTATATGCCTTGGCAATGAACAATTTGAATTTGAAATTTACAACACAACAGCACTTACACTGACATCAAAAAAACCAAACCTGAAATCTTAGGTATAAACAGATCAAAATATATACAGGATATTTATGGCACTGTAAGATAATATGCTGGACCGTGAGGTCAGTTCGAACTGTTAAAGTCAGCAGTTCAACCCACCAGCCGTTCTTCATAAACCCTATAAAGGGTCACTAAGGAGCTCTGGTAGTGTAGTGGTTACAAATCGAGCTGCAAACCTCACGGTCAGTAATTCAAAACTACCAGCTGCTCCGTGGGAGAAAGATGAGGCTTTCTGCTCCCGTCAGGATTTACAGCCTCGGAAACCCTGTACAGGGTCGCTATGGGTCGGACGGCACATAACAACACGCGTCACAGAGCAGACTAGACGGCACTTAACATATGACAAATGCTAAATGGATAGATACTCTATTTTGTGGGTCTAAGACTTGATACTGTGAAGATCCCAGTGAGGATTCAATGCAATCTCAATGAAAACCCCAGTAAGTTAATTGATGTATCTGTCCACTCAGAATAGCCAACACATAGTTAGATTCACATATATTACTGAAGAAAAACACAATTGGAGGACTGACACCACATGATTTCAAGACTAAATCAACAGTGTTACAGATAAACAGTAAGCGTCCACATACAAACCCCATTGTACAGTCAACTGCTCTATAACAAAGGCAGGCCAATGGAGAATGGATCATTTTTTCAACAAATTGTGTTGGAAAATAAGACATTTGCATGCAAAAAATTAAACATAGGCCCTATCTATACCTCTCACAAAACTTAACTAAAAGTGGATCACAGACCTAAATATACAATGAAAAGCCATGAAATTTATAGAAGATAATGTGACCTTGTGTTTGATGAGTTAGTTTTTAAATAAGCACAATCCATCACAGAAAAAATTAAGTTGAACTTCATAAAAATTAAAGGCCAAGTCAAAGACCAAGAGAAAACGTCTGAAAATGCATCTGATAAAAGTTTTGTATCTAAAATACAACAAGAGCTCTTAACTTATCAGGAAAACTAATGACCCTCTTCAAAAGTGCTATAGCCTGAACAGACACTTCACCAAAGAAGATGGTGCTGTTATTGTTACATGCCGTTGAGTCAGTTCCAACTCACAGTGACACTGTGAGTAGTGGGTGGGTAGGTCTGAACTGCTTATTCTACAGTGCTACACCAGGACGCCATCTAGTCAGTTCTGACTCAGCAACCCTGTAGAGAGGGAACTGCCAACCTTGTGATTTTCAATCCAGTGCTGATCCTAGAGCACCCCTATTAGAACAGCTAAAATCCAAAGCACTAAGTACTGGAGCAACAGGAACTCTCATTCACTGACGGTGGGAAGGCAAAATGATACAGCTACTTTGAAAGAACCTTGAAAGGTAGTTTGTAGCAAAGCCACAGATAATCTCACTCCTAATATTTACTCAGATGAACAGAAAACATATCCACACAAAGTCTGCCCATGAATGTCTACGACAGTTCTATTCATAAGTACCAGAAATTAAAAGATATATCTATACAGTGGAATATTATTAACTGATTAAAAAATATGAGCTAATGAAGGCATGAAAAGTCATGGGGGACTTTACATTTAGCTAAATGCTGCGTGGTAATGCGTGGACTGTAAAGTCAGTGGTTCAAGCTCACCAGCCACTCCTTGTAAACACAGTTGCTATGGGTTGGAACTGACTCGATGGCACTTAACAAGTGAAAAGCCAGTCTGAAAAGACTATAAATACTGCATGGCTCCACCTATGTGACATTCTGGAAAAGCAAAGTTACAGTGATAAAAAGATTTGTAGTTGCTCAAGTTGGGGTGAAAGGCATAGAAGAGAAGAGATGCCTGATCTTTCACACTTGTCAAAACCCACAGACAAAACTGCAAACACAACACAATGATCCCTGATATAAATTATGGACTTAAGTTAACAGTAATGTATCACTACTGATTAATCAATTGTTAATGAATTTGCAAAATGTTAATAGTATGAGAAACTGGGTAGGGAAAGAGTGGTTATTTGGGATTTGTCTGTACTTTAATGTAAATCTAAAACTACATTTAAGAAATAAACTCTTAATTTAGCCTATCAACCAAAATGAAATGACTAATTTTAGAACGTTATATCAATAAAACTTTTTTAACAAAATATTCATTACCAGTTATCTTAAGTATTGTTGTTAAGTGTTGTCAAGTTGGTTTCAACTCACAATGGTCCTGTACAGGGTTTCTGAAGCCATAATCTTTAAAAGCCTCATCTTTCTCCTGCCTCATGCATTAAGACTAGAACAGATTTTGCACTGACATGTTAGGCAATCAATCCAATTGGTTTACGGGAACAAAAGAAGTTTCTCCAGACCTCATGAGATAAGGAAGGAAATGTTTTTAGATTTATTTTGACTCTCTATAATGACAAAAGTCTCCAAAGACAAGGCCCTTTATGAAATTAAAAAAAAAAAAAAAAAAAACCTCCCCATTTTTGTATATTCTAACACTAACAAAGAATATGGCAGCTGTCTTCCTGTTCAGTAAAACTTTATCATGAATCAGTGGTAATACCAGAACTAGAAGACAGAAATCCTAATTTCTAAATAAAAGTTTAAAAATTTCATATGTAGACTTTCAACTACAAATTTTAGGTTAAGCTTAAGATTCTAAATACTATTTCAAAAAGCAGAAATTGCCGCATACCTCCATTATCTCAAACAGCAGCCCAGGCTCTATCACAATGACCACCTCATACTCTGCTGCATTTTTGCCAGGGATGCTGCCAAGGAACGAGTCTCGCATCGCACATGCACTCTCCACTGCTTCCTCCAACCCAGGCTTCTTCCAGATAGAGCTTGTATTAATCCACCCGGTACGAAACACACTCCTGGGCTCTACAGGAAGATAACACTATTGAAACTGATTTATGTACATCTAAACAGTCTCTAAAGCACTCCACACCACTATCTATTTACAATTAAGAGGAAGTGACAACTGTTATTTATAGTAATCGTTTGATGAAATATCATTGGCCCACTGAAAATGTTTACCAATCATATATGTCAACACTAAGAAATAATCATGTCACATTTAAAGAAAAATAAAACATACAAAAATAAAATCATACATAGTAAAATCCCAAAGAAAACAAAAAGCACAGGAAAATAGAAACTAGCAGCAGCTGTCTATGAGTAGAAGCTTATGAGAGCCGAGGCCCTCCTCCTCCTAAACACCCTCGGTTACTCATTTGCTGCAAGCTTCATACTTTCAGGAGAGTAAAAACCTATCATAAAAATATTTACTAAAGGCTCTATATTTTGTTTTGATATAACTAAAATGTTTTTGTGAACATTTATGAAGACATTTCTCAGGACTGAGTATCTCTCAGGATTAAGAATGGAGAGGGCGGAAGGCCTGTCAGCAGTGTGCCAGACTCCTGGACAAAGGAGTGCAGGCACTGCGAAAGGTCTACGACATGCTGTGCGCTGAGGCTCTCATCCTGTGAAGCAGAATGAAGTATAATGAAGACCTATGCCCTCCTGAGAGGAAATGAAATACTGCTTACCGCTAGCATATGGTATGTGCTGAAACACCTCTTCAGCCAAATGAGGAAGAATGGGAGCAAAAGATCGAACTACTACATCCAAAATCTCAGCTAATGCAGTTTGACAGGAGCGTCGTTTGGGATCCTTTTCGTTTTCACAATAAAGCCTGAACAGGAACAATTTATTCAGCAGTTGACATCACTTTATGTATTGTTTCCACCACTACAGGATCTGCCTCAGTCTACATTTATAGTAGCAGTCTTAACGGTTCTAAACCATTTTCTAATTAAAGAGTAAAATATTCCATCATAAAATTTTTCTAATACTCTATCTTCTATTCTACTTTCCTCTTTCCATGTGTTCCCAGCTCCTCAAAAAATTAGCTATGCTATGTCCAATTCTGGTTTTTAGCTAGATATTAACCAGAATCTAGACTGTATTACAGGACAACTAACATGCTAGATGCTGATATTTACACTGTGACTCTCCACTTCCCATAAAATGCTATCAGTGCTTTCAGAGAGGACTTGGGCATTACAATCCCCAGGTGGGAAGTCCTGGAGAACCTTGAGTAGATTAGGGCTAACAGCTTCCACGAGATTTGTTAACAAGTGTGCATCGCATCATCACTTGCATACAGGAGCAATAACTGACTTAGCACCAAACCCTCCTTCAGAAAGCTACTGCTAACACTATACCGTGTTACTATATAATAGCTGCCTATCTACCGCTCTTGCCCTCACTATTAGTCAACTCCTGAGAGAAAGAAGTATGATATTCATTACCTCACATTAGCAGCTATTACTTATTGAACACCTTATCAAGCATTAAGCACATAATGCACATTATCTCTTCATTTTCTTAACCACACCAGGTAGGTATTACAGGAGAAGAAACAGAGACTATAGGTTTCCATTTCCCCTGATGATATAGGTAGTAAGTTGCAGGACAGAAACCAAAATCAGACTTTACTCCAAAACCCACCTTTTTACTAACTGTACAATGCCACCCACCTTGTTCAGTGTCTCCCCTATATCTGCCAAGCACATACTCAAGGAAAGTTTGCTGAGTTATTTTAATCTTCACCATACATACCTATCTTTGATTATGCTGAAATAGAAGTTAGAGAGTTCTCTTGTATAAAATGCTTGTAACAGTCGAACAACTTTCCCAAAATCATACTGTTTATATGACTCAGTGATCTAGGGAACAAAGGCAAGACATATTAGGAAGCCAGGGCCAGCAAGTGAATATGCAAGTCATCATGAGCAAAACAGGTTCCTTGAAGAATGTGTTTCATATGCAAACAGACTGAAAATATGTGACATGCAAGAGCTCTTGAGGCTCTTCCAATGGTCATTTCCAGATAACACAGGACAACTGAGGAAATACTGACTAGTCTAAAACCTATAAAACAATACTCATCAAAGAAAAGAATCAGGCTATAAATGACAAAAGCATACCACTTTAAATCTCCACAGTATAGGTTGCTAACACTCCAGTAATCTATGCCTACACAGTGAAACTCCCATCTGACATGAGACTATGAGAAAATACAAATTAGTTGTTTAGTATAAACACAAAATCTGTGTTTATGCTAAAATAAGCAAGTAATTAATAAGAAACATGTAGTCTTTTTTTTTTTTTTAATTTCTAGACTTTTTTAGGAGGAAAACATCTGCAGATGAATAAAATATAGCTATTTTATTTCTTCCCATTGGAAAAAAAGACAATGCTCATCTTAAAAATCCGGTCTTTGAAAGGAAAACTTGGGTCTACTGTTTGTTTTCACTGTTTCTGATCTGACGACCAAAGGAGGAAATGTTATCACTTTGTACCTAAGTTCTCTAACAACCTAGCCAAGTATGGAATTCAAGTATAACTTTTCTCGTTGCTATAGTTACTATCTCTAACAAAGTTTGTTTCTTTCTCGTGAAATGAAATATTTAATATACAACAGTGCTGGTATTTCTAGTAGCTTATTAATTCACACTTACCTTATTTGCAAAATCCTGTAGTAAGTGTAGCATATATTGGTCTATGACATACATCTCTGTAGCAGGAATGGAATCTGTTTCTGGATTGAAACCAGACACATTTCCCAAAAGAAAGCGGAGTGTATTCCTAAGCTATTCATTTGGGGGGGGGGGGAAAGTAAATACATAAAAATATTAGACCTTTAATTTTCTCTGAGAAGTTATAATATTATCCTGTAATTACACTTCATTCAACTCAAGCCAGTTTCTTAAATAATATTACAAATGCAAAACAGCCTCATTCCAATAGCCTAAAGATTTAATTGGCATTATATTTTATATAACCTTACGCAAAATCACCCTTCCAGTTTATTCATTTGTGATGATAATGTTATTTTCATCAACTTCACAGGAAAAAATAGATACCCAAACCCAAAATTGTCGGAGTTAAGTTCAACTCAATGTTGTTGTTTTTATTAAATGCCATCGAGTCGGTTCTGACTCATGGCTACACTATATATGGTTTGTGAGGGGAAGCTGATTTGAACTGCCAACCCTTTGGTTCACAGTCCAGTGCTGACCCTACCGCACCACACCAGAAGTCCTTCCAACTCACAGCAACCCTATATAAGGTTTCTAAGAGTAACTCTTTCCCATGGAGTGGCTGGTGGCTAACCTAATGGTTAGCAGCCTAAAGCTTAGCCCACAGCACCACCAGGTCTTAAAGAGAAACAGAATAAATGAGAAGCACATCAAAAGCATAAGGCAGCATAAAAAGTTTATTATTAACCAAGATTTTCAAATAAATTAGTACAGGGTATTTTTAAATGCTTACAAAATGTGGCAAACTCATTTTCATTGTTTTGTAGTGCATGTATCTTTGTTTGACAATGGCTAGGTACACTTTCATTCAAAAGTAAGAATAATGACTCTTACCTTGCTAATATCATCTCTGGCAGCATTGAGTGCAGATGATCCAACTGTCACTTCAGTGAAGACATTGGACTCAGCTACCCACCAGCGAAGAACATCAGCGCCATAAGGCGGTTCTTTGCTTTGATCCTTTCCATTGAGAAAAAGACATATAAACAGAATATGTTTTATTACAGTTAGTTGAATACAAGTTTTAGGAAATGCTAGAACACAGGATTTAAAAATATACCAGCTTTGTAATGAAATAAAGGCTAACCATGCCAGCAACCAGGTTGCATCTAAAAACAATGAAACTGGCAAAGGAGTATATACCCTGCCATCCGAACCGCTGCCCTGCTGTGTTCTGTGTGCATCAGTTACAGCTGGTGGTTGGACAGAAAACTGTGTGTGGATTTTATAGTTGACAGGGCAAGGAAGAGGGGGAAGAAACAGCTTTTCTCTTGCAATATCCCCTAGTAAACATGCCACAGTGATTTGTTGTTGTGTTGTTAAGTGCTGTTGAGTCAGTTCCAACTCATAGCGACCCTATATAGAGTTTCCAAAGAGCGCTGGGTGAGCTTGAACTGCTGACCTTGCAGTTAAAAGTAATGTGCAGTCCAGCGCATTAGCCCACAGCACCACACCAGCACGCCTATAAGAGGGCAGTAAAAAGCTAAGAAAGTAAAATAGATGTGATTTTTTCAATAAAAGCAACTCCAAAATGAAGCCAATTATCAGTGTTTTAAAGGATGTCATCAAATCTAGGATTACTAAGTGCCAAGAATATAAAAACGAAATCTGAACTTACAAGTCACATTTTTTTTTCTTACACTGTTTGTTCTAACTGTAAAATTAGAGTTCATGGGTGAATGTGTGGCTTTCCAGTAGAGCCTCAGGGCTGGGATAAGCCATGCTCTAGTGAAGGAAGAGTAGGCAAGCCAGAGCCATGGCAGGGCAGAGACAGCAGTAATTAATAGCAATGGCCATTGCTGCTGAAGGATTTGCAGCCATTATGTTTTGCAAACCATACAGCATTTAAACATTAATACAAGTTTTTCAAAGTCTAATAAAATTCTGCCTTCAGTGGTGGCTTTTACAGAGGTAGCTTTGAATCCAAAATAACCTAAGAGAAAGCAGCATTAATATTGGGGGTAAGCCTTACTGCTAATAAAGGAAAAATAAGAGATGCTCGTAGAAGAATCATGATCTCAGATCACCCAGACAAGGGAGGATCTCCTTATATAGCAGCCAAAATGAGTGAAGCTAAAGATTTACTAAAAGGTCAAGCTAAAAAATGAAGGAAATAATATGCTTAATTTTAAAGTACATTCTAATTTACGTATACCACCCTAACTTTTTATAATAAGATGTCTCAAAGCTTTGATTTTTAAAAAACCCTCCACCACATTTGTCAGTTTGTCGTACTATGGTGGCTTGTGAGTTGCTGTGATTCTGGAAGCTATGCCACCGGTATTCTAAACACCAGCAGGGTCACCCATGGTGGACAGGTTTCAGATGAGCTTCCAGACGGACTAGGAAGAAGGAACAACGAACTACTTTAGAATATTTAGTCATTGAAAACCTTATGAATGGCAGAGAACCACTGTTAGATATATTGCCAGAAAATGATCCCCTCATGTTGGAAGGCACTAAAAATGCGACTGAAAAAGAAGAGCTGCCTCCTCAAAGTAGAGCTGACCATGATGACGCGAATGGAATAAAGCCTGTGGGAGTAAAGACCTCGGGACCTTCATCTCCTGGGCATAACTCAGAATAAAGAGTAACAGCTGTAAACATCCTTTAATAATCAGAATATGGAATGTATCAACTATGAATCCAGGAAAA